AAGGTCCCAGGTTTGATTCCGGTCAAGGGCATGTACCTGGGTTGCGGGCACATCCCCAGTAGGAGATGTGCAGGAGGCAGCTGATTGATGTCTCTCTCTCATCGATGTTTCTAACTCTCTATCTCTCTCCCTTCCTGTCTGTGAAAAATCAATAAAATATATATTAAAAAAAAATCAAAGCAGTATTCAGGAGAAAAGCAGAGATAACTGTAGCATATAAAAATTTTTGAAGAATAAATTCTAAAGAGAAAAGGAAGAATACATGACTTTTAAATCAGTTGATAAAAACTAAATAGCAAAAAGGACAAAAAAAATGAAATTAAAAAAATGATGACTCAATTCATGAAAAGTCAGCATTATTTTTAGAAAAGAAAATTAAAAAAATTGCATATAGAAAGAAAGCAAAAGTTAATAATAAGTACAAGTATATAAGATATTAAATACATGTAAATGGATCAATTTTGTTGAGTAAAGAATAAAGATTTTCAGAATATATTTAAAAACAATCATGTGCTGTTTATATCATAAATGATACTAATTCAGAAAATATGAAATTGAAAGAAAATAAGACATACCAGAAAAAAAGAGACCAAAAGTACTGGCACTATTAGTATCTAATAAAGTATACCTTAGAGCAGAAATCATTACTGAGGAAAATAATTTCATTTTATAACCATAATACTAATCTTTAGCTAGCAAACAATATAACAGTTCTGAAATTTTATGTCTATTACAAGGCCTTAAAATGTATAAAATTAAACTGACAAAATTATAAAAAGAAATCGGTAAATCCGCAATATAGGGAAGAATTTCAATATACTTTTCTAAAAAACTGAAAATCAAGAAGAAAGCATTGATACTTATGTAGTCTAGTATAGACATATAGTTTTAACTAATTTGATCTAATATAGATTAATAAATAGATAGTAGTAAATAATCTAACAGGCAGCAAGTGGACATTCTTTATCAGCGCACACACACATTTTTAATTATCCATGAAGTCATCAACAAGGCCATTCTCTATGAACCAATGATGTGCTACCAAGCACATTGCAATACATGTCAACATTTGTAACAAATACTCAGACCTCAACAAGTAAAATTTACCAACCCATTTGGAAATAAAGCAACAACAACAAAAAAACCTTAATCAATCATGGTCAAATTTAAAACTTCAAATGGGTATTACAAACTTTTGAGATATAAATGATAATGAAAAGACTATATATATTAATATTTGTGGCATACTTCTTCAACAACTGGTGGTGAAAACATTGGACATACACATGCAAAAAATGAAATGGGACCTTTTCCTTATATCATATACAAAAATTAACTCAAAATAGATTAAAGACCTAAATGTAGGCCTTAAAAATAGAAAACTCCTAGGAAAAAACATAGGGGGAAAATTTCATGGCATTCAATTTGGCAATGATTTCTTGGATATGGCACCAAAAGCACAGATGACAAAAACAAAAATATGTAAGTGGGACGACATCAACCTTAAAATCTTCACAGCAAAGGAATCAATCAACAGAGTGAAAAGACAACCTACTGAATGGGAGAAGTTATATAAGGAACTTCTATGACTCAACAACAAAGAAACCCAAATAATCCAATTAGAAAATGATCTTGAATTTACAAATGGCTAAGAAGCATAAAAAAAGATAGTATCACCAATCATCAAGAAAATGTAAGTCAAAATCAAAATATATACATACAATGAACTATTATTCAGGCTTAAAAAACCAGGAAATCCTTTTATATGATACAGCATGGAGGAACCTAAAGGACATAATGCTAACTCAGCAATTTCAATCTTTTTCATCTCATGGCACACATAAAACAATTGCTAAAATTTTGTGGCACAACAAAAAAAATGAATTTTTTTTTGTCAATCTGACAAAAAATAGCTATAATTTTGATTCAGTCACACTAGACGGCTATTGTTGTGTTGGATATTGTCATTTTTTTTTTTAGAAATGCCATTTTTTATAAGACAATCTAAGGCAGCGGTTCTCAACCTGTGTGTTGCGACCCCTTTGGGGGTCGAACGACCCTTTCACAGGGTCGCCTAACACCATCGGAAAACACATATATAATTACATATTGTTTTGTGATTAATCACTATGCTTTAATTATGTTCAATTTGTAACAATGAAATTGGGGGTCACCACAACATGAGGAACTGTATGAAAGGGTCGCGGCATTAGGAAGGTTGAGAACCACTGATCTAAGGGAAAAGAGGTCAGTGCCCCTGATTAGAGTCAGGTATTGCACGTTTTAGAAATTCTTATGGCAAACTGGTTGAAAATCACTGTGCTAACTGAAACAAGCCAGGCACAAAAAGACACGTACTGCACATT